AGGCCTTAATCTAGTTAGAAGTTAAAGCTCTCATAAATTTAATTTTAGATGCTGATCTGATAACAATCTTTTCCTGTGATAGAACTGGTGTTTTATATATATATATATATACAGAATCAAGTAAAAATTAAAAAAAACTCATATTCATTGTAAAGTAGTTCCAACTAATGATGATGAGGATGCATAAGCCAGCGTTCAAAAGATTTTTGGACTTCTATTACTATGTCTTATGTTGTTGTTATAATTAAACATAAAATGTTATTTCAGTGCAATGGCTAATACTCATTTATTGTACAATATCATTGTACAAAACAGACATATAATGTGTCTTATTTATTAGTTGACATTTCTACTTGTGTTTTCTTGTCCTTAAAATACAAATGTGAACAAATAAAGAGTTTACCGATAGAACGAATGAAAATTCACAATAGATACCGTCCTACATAATACGCATAAGGATCCGTGGAAAAGAGTAAAAGTGTAGCTGATGAGAGACGGTCCAACAAGTATCTAAAAATCTGACATTAACCATCGGCCACTATTACTCAAATTACATTTGCTAACACGGACTGTCATATGCGTTGAATTCCAGCCGAATCGACCGATTTATGTGAATGGATTTTCACTTTTTTCCAATAGTTTTGTTGTTACAACGCGCAAAACATCATTTCGAACGTGTAACATAACACACAACTCCATGACATAATAAACGGATAATTATTATTCATAGGCGATTACTTATATTTCTTTTGTTATTTATTATCGTTGGCACACGTTGCCACGATGTTGATTAATAGTTGTACAGACTCAATCTCGCGCAAACAATGTACAGGAAGTGACGCGTCGAGTCCACATCGACTCGACAGAGTTAATTTATACGTTTTTAATCGTTACCGATTTTTTACGTTAAAATGGAAAGAAATGTATTCATCTAATTTGCTGTCTTTGATACTCCAATGACAAGTTTAAATTTAGAATAAATTGCAGCCGCCCACTTGTCATTGTACAAAAAACGTTTCAATGGGCAATGTGACGCTTGTTTAAAATAACACACACTCTGTGCATTTACAATAAGATAGAAAAAGACAATCGTCATCACGCGTTCTAAATAAATTGTGCTGTTCGTACGATGATAATTTAAGTTCGGTGAGTAAGTCCAAGTCATTAGGTAAGTGGATCAGTGGGCTAGTGGGCCAAACTACACAGACGCGGTCCATTAGAATACAACACTAAACTGCTCCGCGGTGTGTCAGTACCACTGTGTTATAGACAACTCGCAATTGAAATACAATATTATAATGCGTTTGAAAAGCATATCTACGTGTGTTAAAAAAAAAAAAAGGAAGCCTTCAACGATTTTAGCGAAAGAAAGGCGATGAAAAACAATAGGGAGAAAAAAAAGAGCACAATAACAGTCGGACATTACAGAGGTTTAGAAACCTATTAAAATTTTAATACGTCCATAAAGCCATATAAGTATTTAAATATACTTTTGTGTAAGCACGTGGTACGTTTTCAAACAATATCCTGTTTAAGAGTTTATAGAAATACTGTCATGTGCCACACAAAGGATAGCGCGATAACAGCCTAAAGATACTGGGTTGGTCGTATACAAATGTTTATGTGTGCGCAACGATAAGGAACAAGAATATGCGTTAAGATCTTCAGCTGTGGATTTGTTGAACAAACCAGTTCAGAGTAACGTACACACTAGTACTCGTATCATATTGAGTAGGTCCGTCCAAGAGAGAGAGAGAGAACTAAGAGTCAAGGTTACACAAGCCGAGTAAAGGTATTTACTTTATCGGACATTGGAGCGTTGGTCGAAATTAAATAAGTGTTGTTTCATCTTCCGCAAAAGAAACGTATAAAACAACCAGAAAAGCTAACGAAGCGCGCGGTAAATGCTAACACCTTCTACTTTCTAATTTAAGGAGCTGGGAAAGTACTCACACCTGCACTGACTCGGTGTTCAAATAACAAGAGCAGCTGAAAACGAAAGGCGGCATTTAAATGTAAATGCATTTTTTCCAAAATGATGAAGTTATGAGCCAAAAGACAAAAAAGATTTCAATGTTTCAATTTACATTTACATTTTTTGCACAAGGCTCGGACCGTACAAACGGGTGTAGTTTGTGTTAACAGTATACGCTTGGAAGTGGGCCAAATTCACTGAGTAAAAACGAGTTTTGGAAATGTATAATAAACATGAAAAGTGCGTGCAGGACGATGTTTTTTTTTCTGTTTTCAGTATACTGACGTGGTTTTGAAAACCACACTTTAAGTTGTCTTGAGAACCGACAGGGAAGCAAGTCGTTCAACAGGACTGAAACAGTCTATCTAATGTAAATACTACTTGTCGGTGGAGTTTCCCAGAAAGAATCACACGAGGCAAAAAAATAAAAGTCTTTAAATTAAATCTAGTCAGAATTTTTAAACTACATCGAATGGTGCAACTGTCACCTCTCACTGAGATTTTAGTTTTCGAACACATTACTGTTGAATTTTTTTATAGTTGTTCATCCTTCCCAAATCACCTTACACTTGGACTTTTGCATTAACACACTTATGTAGGCCCGACTCTTTCTAATTTATTTGTTTAACATTCGATTTGTACTTGGAAGTAGGTTTATAGACCTTGTCGGTACTTAATTCAATGTAGTAATTGGGGTACAAGATATTTATCATACCGACAGTCGTCGACCATTAGCCATAGGGTAACCTATTTATAAGAAATTGCACGCGATAATAAAAGAAAAACGTCAAATCGTCAGTCGGTCTAAAAAATTAACAGATCTATACCGGAACGCGATTGTGTCCGCAATAGCAAAAANGCCGACAGTCGTCGACCATTAGCCATAGGGTAACCTATTTATAAGAAATTGCACGCGATAATAAAAAAGAAAAACGTCAAATCGTCAGTCGGTCTAAAAAATTAACAGATCTATACCGGAACGCGATTGTGTCCGCAATAGCAAAAATCACCCAATGAATCATTATATATTTGTTTGAGCGCTGTTGTGCATTTGAATAAAACTACAGCGCACGGTTTATTACTCGAAGGACTAAGAAAAAGCGTCGTAGGCACATAAAGTGGAATTAACTGGGCGGCGGTCATTTGACGTAATCGACGATTATCAATTGAATAAAAAACTGTTGACACGTTTTCAAATCGGTAAACGGACGTTAAGTATGTAATTCACAATATGCAGAGAAAATTATCGTGATATTTTCAGCAGGATATTGGCAGTACACTGACGAACGGGCAATTATGCAATTGACCTTTAGCGGCGGCATTCGGATATCCGGTCAGAAAATTAATTGACGACAACGAACACGATTTAAAAAAGTTAAATTAGTAGTGACTTATCGGATTTTCACATTCCAGTAAGCCGCACGTGTACGCGTAATACGACGCCTTAAACCAATCGGGCCGCTCTTACTTTCGAGTTATGTGCTTTAATCGACCGGTCATAACCGACCACAGAGTTGGAAGTTTCGTGGAGTTCAACATCCTTTCGGTTATCCGATGATCGTCTAAGCGATAATCACGTGCGTCAAACAGATTTCTTTTTACATTTGTGCACTACGCCCCGGTCACGGGCGCAGTGTATTACTTATTTATTTGTATTATTCCTGTGCTCAGAACAAGAAGCCACTAATTTACTCGCAGAGACAAAACGTATCGCACGGTTTTTTGTTAAAAAAAAAAAATAGACGGTCTTCTCGAATAGCCGTCTACGATTAACAGGTATCATACGTGTACAGTACTACAAAAGACTATACGGGAAATACGGTACAACGTTCATATGTATATCGTTAAAATGGAAATTGCGGTCGATGACGATTTTTTGGCAACAAGTGTTTGTGGGTCAAGGTCGAGGAGTCGGTGGCGGCAGTCTGTCGTTGAACCGGTTGAACGAAATCTAGCAAAAACACAAAGTGCATACTCATGTTCGTATTGTACACTTCACATGAACGCTAAAAGAATTCGGTGTTCAAAAACGGAATCGCACGCGCAACTGAGTAATTCGGTCAATTGAGTTTTAAAATTATTCACCAAACATATCACATTCGATTTATTAACGTGCAAACTTATACCAATCCAATACAGTTAAATTATAATTTTCATAATTACACTTTACATACGGTACTACAATTTAAATAGTCTAGAAGCGTTTGAGCTGAACCTGTAAGTTCTTACGAGTTGGATTCGAATTAATTACAATATTTTATACCTCTCGATCGACTTAACGGAGACAGCAAAGTAAACCTATTTAAACCACAATCGCATAAACGTGTATCGCGTGATATACATTGCACAAGCACCGGCCTAGAAATAGTGTTAATGCGTATCAGAGGGTGCGCATCCGGAATGTTTGTTAAGCACCCAACACGGTCACCAGGTCAACCAACAGTCACAACAGCATAATGTCAGTTTCTTCCCGAGTATGTTTTATCTTATTGTGGCCAATGTACTGCTTTCATAAGTACCGACACTTGCGACTACCCGTTTTCAAGATCGGGTTTAGATTTCACTATAACCCATTTTAACTGTCCCTATGGTATTTTTTACGGATGATGACATGACCTTTATCTATATCAATGCCTTTAAAATGTAGTTAAGATATTTAATAAAAATATTTATTGAATTACCATTTTGTCACTGTAATTGAAATTATAAAAAAAAATTTGGATTAATAGATGTTGACAAATAAATAAATAAGTTCATTTTTTTAATAAATCAGCAAAATATTAATCTACCAAGGAAATAAAATAAGGTTATTAAATTCAATTTTCATTTTTATTATTAGTCAATATTACATGATAATAAATACTCTAGAAAGAGTCAAAAGGTCACATATAAGAGGAGCTTACAATAACATACAAAAAATATTACGTATTCTTTAACAACTACTTAAATCAATGAATAAATATACATAATATATTTAATTTAAAAATATATCAGGCTTTTCTTCGAAGGAATATTAAAAATCACACATTTTTGTTTATAATAAATTATTTAAGGGAAAAATATTTTAGTTTTGTTTACACCTTTTCATGATTTTTAATGAAACTTCTATTATTAGTAATATTACATAAAAAAATATTATGAAAAGATATATTTGTCTTTTCTATAACAATACACATAAATTTTTATAAGAGAAAAATTTTTATTAAGTTATACCCTTCAGTTATAATGCCTGAAATTCAATATTTCTTAATTTTTTGTTTACAACTGCCATATGACTAGTATATAACTTATTTTTATTGCCACAGAAAAGAATTCAAAATAAAATTTTATGTGATATTTTGCTGTAGAAAAACAAAGATTTTTAAAATTATTTTTCAACAACAAATAATTCACAACTTTTTAATAAATATATTTCATTTGTAGCTCCCATATGTGTAGTTTAGGGAGTAATAATTATAGTAACTAATAATTATGTACAAAAAAAAAAATAGTACAATAATACAAATATCTAAACATAATAATAAGTCAATGTCTACAAGTTTTTCCTACTTATAATAATTATTTACATCATTCTACATTAAATAGGAGAAATTAAAAAAATAAGTTAGAAAATAAATTGTATCTAGATTAACAATTCAAAAAGTAGGCTACTTAGCTAAAGTAAAAAAAAAATAATAAAAAATTGATCACAATGGATAAATGAGGCAGTTTTATAGAGGAATGATACAATAGTGATGTTTTTTTTTTTTTTTTTTTTGGCGCAAACAGCAATAATACTCTGTATACACATAGGGATTTAATAGAAATATAATTAAGAGAGCAGCAGGAATTTTTAGAATTGAATATTGTAAATTTAATCCGCTTGGCTTATAAATCTTTCTTTTAATTACACTTAATAACAAATAATAGGGTCACACTTTAAGACTAATAGTCAATCCTCTTATGAGTTATGACTTTTTAAATTATCTAACATATCACTGGTTTAAGATGATTGAGATTCAGGAGGAGCTCTGAAAAAAAAACATAAAATTTAATTATTATTCATTACTATTCAATATTAATCAATTAAACAAACAATTCTCATCAGCTAAAATATTTTGAAAAATTTAACCAATTATATGGTTTATCACTACTATACATAGAGAAAAACAATGTTTTTCAAAGATTAGTTTAAAAAAATAATAACAAGTGGATTTATATTAATTTTTTAATTTTGTTAGAACTATTTAAAAGGAAACCCAAGTTATTAGTGCAAATTTTTTGTTGGAATATACAGTTACATAGTTCAACAATAAAATTAACAGCAATTTTTATGTTTATACAACATTCGTGATCAATATTGTAATTAAAAAATAACTTGAAATATTAAAAAAATATAAATTTGATACAACATGGTTTTCAACATAATATAATAAAAATAAAAATGAATGAAAATGATTGAATTTATGAGAATGTTGAGATTAAAAAATTATGTTCAAAAAATTTTGAAACATCATTTTTGACATTTCACTTTTTGTTGTTAATGAACCTTTTTTAATGTATCAACTAAGTTTTATAAAAAATGTAACACAAATAATAAAATCAAACATCAAATCATAATAAATTGTACAATTTTTAGAAAAATAAAACAGTATCATAAGAGTTGAATTAATTTTTTTCTAATATTCATTTAAATAATAAAATTTAAAAATGATATTAAATCTTTTAATTACAAAAATAAAATAAAAAATCTATCAACAGTAAATAGTCAATGAACTAATTTAACAATGTCAAAATCTTAAAACAAATTGTTTTACAATACTATACATGTAATAACAATTGTAAATTACTTATAACATACCCTGGCGGTCCAGAAGGCCCTGGGTAGTAATATGGCGGTGGGCGTTCATATTCAGATGAGATCGGATTTTGATATTGAGGTGGTCCTCCATTAGGAAAATCCCATGTTGGCCTAAAAATATAATAATTTTAATACTATACACACAAAAGTTGGATCTTTAAGAGTCTTAATAATTTTATACGTTTATGTAAAGTCTTAAATTTTTTTTTTTTAATTCATTCATTAAAATAAGAAAATTTCTTATTATTTTAATTGATAATTTTATTTATTAGGATAGTACTATTTTAAGAAATTAAATATTAGCTATCAATATATGATCCAATAATTAATTGATTATACTTCTTAAAATAAATTAAAAGTAAAATCATACTTAGGTGTATCTGATAATACTCCTGAAGGACTGGTGGCAGGTACTGCTATATTTGCTCTTCCAAGATGTGCGCTATAATCAACTGAACCACCATGTCCAGGATGACCTGAATGGCGGGAATTCTCATTTATAGATGCATTAGCTAAAATTTCTGGATTAGTCATATTTTCATAGCCCACTGGTATTCCTGATGAACGATTTCCTCCACCAGGTGTTGAAGAAGTTTTTTTCCTGGGTTTATTTCGTACATTTTTTTTCTTATGATTAGAGCTAAATTATTCATATTAATCAATAGCAGTTATAAGAAAAATATTTTTTACAAGTATATTTAATTCTTACTTGGCAAGAGGTATGTTTTCACGATCTGTATATACATCATATAAATACTCCCTAAAATATTTAATAAGAAAATAAATTTAAAACCATTTAGATGATTTTGATATAAATACAACTTACGCTTCCACTAAAGGTCCAGGGTATGGATCAGATTTTTGATAAAGAGATGCTAATTTCACACACAAAATAATTATAGGCATAAACAGTATGCAACAAATTCCTACACTCATCCAAAAACCATTCTAAAAATTGTATACAACAAAAAATATAATTTAAAAAATCAATTAAAATAAAATGCATTTACTTACATAAGGATTTAATATTTTTTTACATCCAGAAACAATTGTGGCATTGTAAGCCTGTGACATAGGCCAACACTTTCCAACATCGTCTCTTACTTGATTTACAACTCTTTGCAGGTATTGGTCTATATGCTTATTGAATTCTTCTCCAAATTCTCTTGCCAACTAAATTTACAATTTTATAAAACTCAAAATAAACTTACATACAATAACAAACACTTAAAATTAAAATCAATTATTATATTATTATTATTCTAATATAGCTAGTATCAAAACTAGCAAAAAAAAAAAAACAAAAATAAAATATGAAATAAATAATAAAAAACCATTCAAGTTTTTTTTAATAACAAAGTGATTTTGTCCTTCAAAAACTATGTTATATCATACTGTTAATTTATATTAAATTTTTGATCAAAATTTAGTTATGGATTGATGCCTACATATTCATTCAAACATTGTGATACTTTGGTAAATAGTGAATTATTTTCATGTAAAACCTCAAAACCACCAAAATCACATTTTCTTATTTTCAGTGATGATTGAAAAAAATAGAATTTATAATACAAATAACTTTTTAAGTTTAAATAAAAAATGACAATAAATGTTATTAAGATAGACGCCATAGGGTAAAATATCTAGAATAGAGGATGACTTTGCCCATTACATTAAAAAATAAAGGCTATTCTTAATAAATTTAATATCATCCAGAGAATAAATTTTAATAAATTTTATGTATTATACTAAAATATTACAGGAAGTATGACTTCAGAACTACATTATTTTTGCTGGCATCTCTATATTTACTCAAATACTAACTCTTATGTAGGATTTAAAATGAGTTTACTTTTGTCACAATTGTTGTTCCTTCATTACGCAAATAATTTTGAGCTTGTTCAACTTCTATCAATAAATGTTCAACAGCAGCTCGTAAGGATGAATGATTGAATCGCAAATGTTCTTGTAACTGATTAGCAGTTGATTCTAACCTTTGACTAATATCTAACATAGCAGCTACATGCTGTCCTTGATGTACTTTAAGGTATAATCCTTGATTAACTAGAGAAAATTTAACCTAAAAGACAAAAAATATGGGTTAAAACTAATTTTATAATTATTTTTAGATAAATACTTACATCAGACTTTGATGATGGTAATTGGGATGCAGTTTGATTAAGAGCATCAGCTAGTTGAATCAAATCAATAGAGGTGATTCTTTCTCCCAACTGAAATGAATAATTAATTAAAATGACAGTTATTTTCAAATGTATATAGAATTAAATATATCTTACAACGTTAGTGTAAGCAGGAAAGTTGATATTAGACAATGGTGATTTTGCAAGTCTAATTAACTGTTTCTCTGCTTCTGGTGTTAAAATTATTATTTCTCCTTCAAGTTTAATCTTGGAAACTAAATTATTAATATGTTCATCAATTTCAAATTCAGTAGGATATTCTAGTACTTTATTAAGATCTATCAGTCTTTCCATTTTTAAAACTTGGAACAAACTCATGTTTCGATGACAATCTCTAAATATTTTCATAAGAAATTGGATAAATAACTTTCTTAATGTAATACAAAATTATAAATTAATCAAACCTTATTATGGAACTAATATTAAAATCTATATTATCTGCTTTTTGTCTCATATGATGTGGCTGATTTTCTTGGTCATGTATAACAGACACATCATACAGACGATTCACAATGTTTAATACTCTAGATGGTGTAGGATTTTGCAAAGGCTCACATACAATTCGGTCAGTAGTAACACCAGTTACAAAGTAGAATAATGAAATTATCATTAAAAATGCTGAAGATAAAAACATCAACCATACAGCCCTAAAAATAATGTTGAATAAAGTTTAAATATTGTACAACATAAAATAACTTTAATTTTTTAATTTATTTAGTGTGATCTTACATCATTAAATATGAAGCACCTGTTCCTTTGTTGCAACAATCATCATGATAACCACCTTCAGGACGACTTCCACAAAAACCACAGAATAATCCAAGAGTCAAGCACATCAAAATCAAAAATAATGTAATTGAAACTCCAAGACAAACATAATATCTTTATAAAAATGTTTATCAATTAGTCATTATTGTAAAATTCATTGATCATAAAAAAAATTTAACAGATATCATACCTGAAAGGTGAAAATTCTTTTAATAAACCTTCTCCTTTTTGCATAGGTGTATATGAATTTACAATAGCATTGTCTACTCTATCCAATACTTTATCAACTTTATCACAATTTTCTTTTATTGCATTTCCAACTTTTCTAATATTTTGTTTGATCACAGGTATATTGTCATTAACAGCATTTTGTATAACTGTTTTTACTTTTTCAAACTGTTGTTGACCTTTCATCACTTCTTTTTCAATATCCGCTGTTATAAGATCAGATATATTCTTTAAACTTGCAGTCACATTTGGTAGCTAAAATTTAAAAAACAACAAATATAAGTATAAATTATAATAATATAAAAAATGATAAATACTAAATTAAACTGTTACAAAAAAACCAGGACATGTGCATAATAAAGTACAAAAAAGGAAGTTAAATTATTCAGAATAAATATAAAAATTGATACAATGAACAAATAATATTAATATTACAATGAAAAAATTTATCTATTCTAATGAGTAATCAATCATTATTTTATTTTATTTCAGATATATGAGAAATAATTATTATTAAAATATTAAACCATTTGTTTTTCAAGATAAAATCCTCAAACTGCTATTTCCAAGAATGGCTGATTTTTATTTAAAAATTAGCCAACTTATTATTAAACATACAAATACAAATAGACTAACATTTTTTTTAAATATTATCAACAAAATACAAATGAAATATTTGTAATATATTGTTGGTTTCTATATCTTAAACAAATAAAATTATAGCATAAATAATAACCATGGAAAAGACAAAACTTTGATAAGCATTCATTGATTAAAATGTCATAATTTTTAAATATGATTAACCAACCTTTGGTAGTTGATCATCTAATATCTGTCCATAGTAAGCAATAAAAAATATGATTAGTATTATTAGTAAAAGCAAAATTAAGTCAAAAACTTTGTTAAGAAAATGAATACACTGATTTGTTGTAATCAATAACAATATATATTGATGAAAACAATAAAAAAAACTGGATAGATAGCATCAAAAAAAATAATTTTTTTACATTTGATAAACTATAATGATTTTTATGATTATTTATTAAGAACGTTAAATCAGATTCTATTATTATATTAATAATAATTCAAATGAAAAATAACAATATATGATAAAACTCTACTTTAAAAAAAAAAAAAAACAACACAATTCACCAATATTATTAACGAATTGGGAAAACAAATTCATTAATTGAAGATAACTAATGTTTTTTAACTTCTTCTACAATGTTAAATGTATATTGCTTAAAACAAATACCCTGGAAATTATAACTAAGAAATTAATGTGTTTATTATTTTTTGATACATGAAATAAATAATAAGTAAATTTTACTTTAATATGTATTTTAATTGAAAGTAAGTAAATGATTCAATATATTTTTATCTGTTTGCTTAGGTTATAAAATTGAATAAGTTATACTGTCAGATAAAAAAAATTACATAATTTTATACTTACTTCTTTACTAATCAAAAATCACTGTAAAAATTATTTTTAGTTACCAGATTAAGAATATTAACTAACCTGACTAAAGTTTGCTTCTAATGAAAGATCTTGAATATTATAGCGAAGAAGAAAATCACGACAAGCACGCTCTTGTCTGCAGGACTGTAATTTACTCAATATATAAGATCGAGATTCCTTCAAAGCTAAATAAAATCATATTTATGATGGATATAATATAGGTGCATAACTATGTTTAATTTTATTAAAACTATACCTGTATCTAATTGAAGAGCTGTTTCTTGTAATTGTCGTGTTAATAAATCTACATTAGAAAGGTCTTGTTTAATGAGCCCTAATCCATTAACAACAGCAGTTAAGTTTGACAATACAGATGCTTTAGATACATCCCCTAATTTCTTTTTAACTATTTCACCACTTGCTATTAGAAAATTATTTGATAAATTAATAATTTTTAAAACTCAAGCTTTAATTAAAACTATGATAAAAAAAATTATAATTAATACCTTCTAGAATATTGGATAATGTTTCTTCCAATTCATCAAAATTAACAACCAACAAATTATCTACTTCCTAAAAAAAAAAACAATAATAAAATTTATTTAATAAATAATTAGTAAATACATTATTTTATTAAACAATTAATAAAATATAAAAAAGAATCTACTTATTTTTTTCTTTGAAATTTAAAATTCATTCTTATTAAAAATTTCTACTAGGTTGAATTATAGATTCCATATTATTAATTTTAAGAATTTTTAATAATTTACTTTTTTAGTATTATTTATAAATAATCTGGTATCTCCTAGTGACTTCTTTACATTTACTGGTAATTCTTTTACTCCATCTTCTAAATATTCATTACTAACAAAGGTGCACACAACGCCAAACCTACAAATGAATATCAAATTGAAATTAAAAAAAAAATTAACAAAATTATCTACAGTTAAAATTATATAAATAACAAATAAAGATTACATACGATATGAGTATAGTGAGTGCTGCTAAGATTATACCATAAAATTGTCTTCTACAAGAATCATATTTTGCATCAAATGGCTGAGATCGTGATCCACAACCTCCAGCACAGCGACAACAACACAATGTAAGACCAATTAAAGGCATAAGAACAGCAAATACTAAACCAGCCATTAATACTGAAGCACTAGCCCAATAATGACTGACTAACTTTGGCCAATCATTAGATAAATAATCTACTTGAATTGTATTACTATCTTCTTCTACATCAACAAATCCTGTAAAAAAATAAAATAAAATAGTTAGTAAAATCTTATAAGAATCAAAAAACTATAGTAATTATGATGAAACAATTTTAACTTTTTAATATAAAAATAATATTTTAACAAAAAATATTGAAGTACAGAGAAATATACAAACAAAATTAATAGAACCAGGTCAATTATTTATCTAAAAAAAATTACTTGGATAAAAACACATTTTGATGTATACACAATTAATATATTTTTTACTTCAAACATTTATTACGCATTCTAAAATAAATATATTTTAAAGAAATTTGAAAAAGGGAACTATCATGGGTAAATTTCTTCAATTAACATGACGTATTATTACTTAGTAGAAGTGGTACCTATGATTCTCACGTATTTGCAATTTTGAACAAAGGAGGTGGTTTAGAATAAATTATCACTTAACACAATACAATTCACCCATAGATTAAAAGTAATAATCTCGGTATCACTCTATAAAGTTTATTTATTTTAGTCACAGCATATGCACACGAATCAGGATATATGGTCCAACGCATCATCTATTATTACGATTTAAATGGTAACTTTTATTCTCGTTCACACTTGACTCTTAACATCGAGTTCACTTATAACAAATGTATACACCACGTTTATATGAATATAACTCTAGATTTAATATGTTACGCAAAAAGTATGTAAATAAAATTACTACATTAATAGCTAACGGGGATCCTCAATATTAGTAAAAATATGTACAGTTCTAAACGAGTTAGTTCTAATCAACGTCTACAAGGGTTCACTAATTTACTAGATAAAAATAGTGAACAATAAAATTAATATAAATTAATTATAATAATATAAAACATTAAAATTTATTAAAATGACAATATATTATAGCTTTTACCAGGGCCGTACCTAGAATTTTGTTTTGGGGGTGGTTTTAAATTTTTGATGTTAGTATTAAATTTACAATTATATCATTAAAATAAGTAGGTATAAAATAAACTATCTCATAAAAACCCATAATATTTTAATACTACTGTTAAATATTAAAAACACATTTGAAGACTTAATCTTATTAAAAAAAAATTTATTTCACCGTGACTGTAATGTACTATAATATATAATTTTTATTTCATGAAAAAATAAGGTTAAACATTTAAAAAGTCAATTTGGAGGTGGTTTGAACCCCCAAAACCATATCCTAGGCACGCCCCTGGCTTTTACAATATTGTATCAAATTTTACTATTTTAAAATCAGAGGTTTTTATAATCAAAATTATTTATACACAATTATCTTACAAAATACGAAAAATAAAAAAATTGAACCTATTTTGAAAGCTTTACCCATCTATAAGTGCTATCCAGTCTGTTAACCGGCTGTCTGTAAATGTCTAATATATGAAAACTTCTCTTAATAATTTAAAATACGGTCCAGGGGAAGGGCAAAGCACTTTCAAATAAAAATACAAAATTCAGTTACAACAAATACATTTTCCTACGACATCGAACTTAAATTGACACTCAAAAGTTGAAGAAATATAAAAAAAAAAGTATTTTTTTATTTAGCACGCATACAATGTGTGACTACAATACTTAAAAAAATCGAAAGTGCTATGCAAAAATTGATTAGTGATACACGATTCACATTAGGTATTACAATATCCAGTCATTTACTTTTCTCTGAATATTGCCTCAAATATGTAGATTTTTTTGTACAATACAATATATTATTCAAGATAATATTAGTAATAGAAAACATAACCAACTATACAATTAAATAAATTAACTATTCAAAACCAAGTTTTGTTTGTCATGTAAAGTGTTTACGAGGCATGCTAATTTGAGATGCACGTTTGGATAGACCGTACCGCCTAAAAAACGGAAATAAAAAAAACTTTACAAAATTATTATAAGGTGTTTGAACTCGGTTGTTCAAAAACCATAGCTCTATTATTAACGCTTAGAGTTCTAAGAGCAACAAAACTCGGTTATTACATACACGCTTATTAAAACAATAATAATAAAGATTAAAATTTGAACGGTCAGTATAAAAGCCAAAGTCCCTAAGTTCATAACTATAATTAATGTACAACGTAAAATGAGGGTCTTAATATACTTTATCTTCACTAGTCAATTTTTAATAAAGCGAACTAGTTTATTTTATCTAATTGACTTTAAAGTTAGACTATTGACTTCATAAACCATTATTGTCTGTAGACGACGTTACGGTAATATGCAATTCAATGTAAAATGCGTAATACGTTCATGGTCATTTGATACCATACTAAAAACAGTAAAATATTCAAGTACACTGATATTTTAAAACCGTGATAATAATTCATAAGATAGCTTATACACAACACTCCAACAACGACTAAAATGTATTGTATGTGTATATATAAAATAATTCAGTTTGTTAATGTTTTTTTTTTTATAGATTTAAAATTTTGCTCGATGAAGAAATTATTAATAAACGATCAATTTGAAAAAGAAAAATGAACTACAGTATTAGTTTTCTGACACCGGAAAAAACTTAATGGGTCATGTTTTGAGTTTCATTAACAACACCTGGTAGTCTGTTTCAATCATCTACGTTATGAACTTGAAATAGCTCTCACTGCAATAATGTAGAGTTGATGGTGCCGTGCCAGATAAATATCTCTTTTCTTTCTTTCATTTTTTACTATATCAATATCCACAAGTAAAAAATAAAAAATGAAATTGGCGAGTTGTTATTATAAAGTAGAATAATTAAATGCTTTATTTAGAAGCGTTTCAGATCGAACAAAAAAATTATTACTAAACAATAATAATAAATAAATCAACAGTGTTTTAACTAATAAATTAAAAAAATAAAAATAAAGAAATACAAGTACATCAAATTAGAAATAATTATAGTGAAACTAAAAAATTATTCAATAATCTATACTTTAATAAAGTAAAGCACTCTACATATGTTTTACTGATTTTTTTTAATATCCCAAACTTAAGTCAATAACTTTTTAAAAACGGTAATAATTTTGTTATAATATAATCTAAATTCTAAATAATAATAAATACACAATATTTATTTTTTAATTTTTATTAGTCATAACTAGATAAGAATTTAAAGAATATTTAATATAATAATGTAGACTATTATAATTTTACACCAAGTATACATGAGAAGTCATATTAATCAATGAATTTACTAATTTAATACAAATAAGACAAAAACCAATCAAATAATTGCACTTTAAATTTATTTATCTAATAATTATTATTGTTTTATATACTGCATAATGTTTGGTATTAAATTAGAACAATTATATATGACAAAAATACATAGTTCTCAAAATGCATTCCGAAATAAATAAGGAAATGGACGTGGGTAATAGTTGTCCGAACAATGTAAACCTGTCGTGAGATTTAACTGTTCATTGTGCCACTAAAAAAAATGTTTTTTTTATATTCTAATTATTAACCAACTATAATAGTACAATATAGAATGTACAATGCATCCTATCTTTAATTTTATATCAAAAATAATACTCTAAATTAGCATTCTATATTAAATACATTCTAGATAATATTGAACATAATACACAAACGTAATAATATTGATACGAAATGTATTCATGCATATGAAATAAAGATTATATAATACACAATAGTGAAATGTATGGGGAAAAAAATGTAACTTCAAAGAAATAAATCATGCCAATAATATTCATAAAGCCATATAATATCAACACAATGTTAAAATCATTAAACTAATTGTAAAATTATTTATTACACGATAAAACTATTTAAAACAATGCAAATTATTTTATCACCAACGTTTATTAAGAAGTGTACATAGTTATGATTCAGATCATAAAAACTAACAATAATTTTTCTTTAATGTTGAATTTTATGCATGAAATATTTATAAACTTTTGTATAACATGATGTCTATGAAGCATGCAGTTGTTTTTTGTAATATCAAGAATAATTGAGTTCAATACACTTAAATAGAGCTACTATGTGAGTCACTTGATTATTTCAGCCCGTCCGCTCTCAACAGATTATCGTTATTGTATTTTTTCGCGGTCGACACACCCGTACAAAGTACAAACTCATGACCCGCAAAAATGTACATGGTGGTGAGAAAATATGAATTATACTGATACAAAAAAAAAATAAACAGTTAAAAACTATTTTGCATTGCATAAAAATATTTTATAACACAAAACTATGTGATGTATCATAAAATCAGTTGAGATAAATTACTTTTGTGTTCGACAGTCATCTGTCACCAAAGATATAAAACATAATAGATATAATTATTACACAATACAATAAATTGCACGATATTAAGAAAACAGCTTATTTAAGATTTACAAATTTCAAATATAAATTAATTGTAGACAATGTAGAAATATATCAATGAAACAAGGCATGTTTTAAATTTAAAAAATAATTAATTAAATTTATAATACAATTTTAATACAGTTACAGACTGTCGTTTAAATAAATATAATTTTATTCAATATAACACAAAGTCCATAAAAATATTATCATTTTGATTATATAATAATAACATTATTATAATTGAAAATTTAGCCTTGAAAATTAAAAAATAACTAATGGCTATAGGCATGTGAATTACAAAGCAAGTAGTTAAAAACAGGTTTAGAGTGCACGACAGTCAAATGAAAAAACTTTAAAATTGGATTGAACTCTGCCAAAGCAAATGTAGAGATCGAAAATATGTTAAAATGTACCAGTTATGTAGTTAATGACAAAATGTTAACAAGATAAAGAAGTTTTATTTCACATAATTAAATATAACGAATAAACAATACTTTTTAAAATACAAAATACACAATATAAGAATTTTCAATAATTGAGCCCATTATTTTGGTCGTCATACTTAAATTCGCTTAATGTAAACTATTTAGTTCACCATACTTATTACAAATTTATATTGTTCATTATGAATCGTTCGTGATGCTCTTTATATTTACATCATTTAAATAACTGTTATACGACAGAAACAGTGAGCCACTCAATTAATTTCAATTTAAAAAAATATGAAAACGTTTATCACAGAGAATATCAAAAGGTTATATGACGTGAGATTACATCTGTTATCTATTCATAAATTTTAAAATTTGGCTTATGTGAATTTTGACGAAACTGAATTATCTTAAAAGCAAATACAAACGTAAACCTCTTTATAACACTATAAATAACTAAGTTGTATCAACTAGGCTGTCTAACGGTAAGTACTGTCTAACAAAAAATTACTATTTAAACTTTTTCGCACATAATATATAAAAATATAAAACACAATTTTTGTTGTCAAAAGGAGGAGAAGAATTAACCTGATTTGCATTAGATCACAGACAAAATTAAGTTTTAATTTAATTAAAATATCATTTAGAGAGAATTTGAAACATCGTATATTAATACATTTTGTTACAATTTATTTTAATATTTTTAGTAAATAGAATCAATGCACAATTTCATAACGCGTGAGATAATACCCTTGGTATTATTTTTTATCAATAAAAATACTATCTATATTACGAAAAATATTTGATGTAGAGTACTTGTATTGTAATACCATGAAATACTGTTCGTTATTTTTTCTCGGTGACGATATACAGCGTGTTGCACAGTTTTTTGACAAATCCACCTACTTTTCTTAAGGAAAATTATCAGAACATCGTGGGTCACTCTATATAATAAATAAGGAAGTGCCAAGTACTATAAGAGTTCCAATGACAACCATAGTATTTCACCATACGTGATTTTCTTTTATTAAACGAGCTCAATTGACGAACGAGACAAAATAAAAAATCTACTCCTGACGCCAACAAAAATTTTATTGTAGCACTATTGTTCTGCATGTGAGACTAGCTAAACTATAAAATCAAAACTAGATTATAACCTCCTTAATAAAATAAATGAAAATTAACCATCTTATATCAATAGTTTAACACATATTTTTATGAAAAAAATCTATATATTTTATCATAAAAATATAAACGATATTGGAAACCAAATCAGATAAAAAAAACAACGCTCATGAAAAGAAATATCGTTTCCAAGGAACTACAATATTTTGAAAATAAAACAGCCTTAATATTTCAATAGAAAAGGTTCAAAATTTAAATTTTACTAATACCCTCAATAGACCTTGCCATTGTAAATAAAGTAATAATGAATACGTCATAAATAAAACGCATATCAATAGTAACCCGTATAAAATTTAATACAATAGTCTGACATTGCATTACTCATGAAATATTTATTACATGCAATACTAGATATCTCAATCAAATAAAACAATATAAAATGTAGTTATCTAATACACAATGCATATTATTTTTCGAAAAAGAAAATATAAATAATGATATGTCATAGTTTTTGCTTTATTTAGTTTAAAAATAATTACGTAATATCAGGGCTGTATCTAGATTAGGAAGGGGTACGAAATATATTGGATTAATTATAATTTTATGCATTTTTTTTAAATATAGAGTAGAGTGAGCCCTAGAAACTGACCCTGAATACGGTGGGTAAATCGTCATATTAAGTCATTCATTTGAATATGAAATAATGTAAATCTAAATTAATTTAAAAGATATACATCATTTTACAAGAAGGAAAATAAAAAAAATGATTCATACTGAAATCATGTTTTTATAAACACAATTAAAATCTCATTTATTTTGAATAAATTATATAAATGATCAATTGTTCAACGTTGGTAAAACTATGCAAGAAGATATGAAAATATTATTTTAAATAATCGATAACTCCTGCTTAACCTCATGTAACTAAAATACAAAAATGCATTTATCACAAACACAAAAACTACTTTATTAGAAGTATGTAACAATGTTTTTACATTGTCGTCACAGATAATACGCTGACCTATTACCACGTCATCAAAAATTCGGAAAATATACACTCATAGCAACATAAATAGAATAATCAGCGTGTGAAACCAGTTTTTTAAAAGAAAAATTTATCATTTCAATACTAGTATTAATAGATTGTTTCAAACAATAAATACTGCTGCTACACTAATGTCAAAATTAAAAATTAATGTAAAATAATAAATTTGATTAAATAATGTTACAAATTCGTTTTGTTAAATAAAACAAAATAAATATTTATGGATGAATTTAAAAAGTAGCAATGAATTAAATTATATATCTAAATTAATAGAAATAATATGACGTGTTCGTTTATTATACATTTAATTTTAGTTATAAATTCTTATTAAAAAAAAAATTGTAAGTTGAATTTTAAAAAACAAATTTTCAGCATTTTTAGTTTACACGTTTGACTTTAATGGTCAATACTGGAAGCTAAATATAACTTAAGTAACAAAAATCAATGTATTTCTACATGTCTAATTAATCATTCCTTTAGTATAACAAACAAAATTAAATTCTTCCAACTTAGTGACTGTTATCAGTGTTTTATTTTTTATTAGTATTACTGTAATATAGTAGTAATATAATAGTAATATTCAACAATGATAAAAATGCTTTTAAGAATATAAATTACTCATAGTATTTCTTAAAAATACCTTATAGATTTCTTTTTAAATCATAGTAAATAAGTACAAATAATCAAATAGAAAAATAGTTCACAAGTAAATATATAATTTTAATAAAAAATGTTTTAATAATAATATTAAAATTGAACGCTAATAAACGTTGAATGAATTCAAAAGAAATTAATTTTCTTAATATAATATAATATAATAACAAATATAATTTAAAAAATAATTGAAATATATTTCGTAAAAAGTACAAGTAGTTGATTCTAAGAAGTAATAATCTTCAAAATAGCATTGATAGCTTTAATATACTAACTAATTATATACTATCTTAATGGTAATTTGAAATATGCAAAATTGCATGAGCTTAAAAGGAGTACAAATTTTTATTGCTATTTTTATTGATGATTGGGATTTATTGCCAACACTATCTCAAAGCGATTTTAGATAAAGGTAAAACTAATTTTATTTAAGTCATTATTTACATTACAGACTAATAATGGCCTCATAATTAATGAAAGGAACACTATTACAAGTGTGTGCCCAAAGGAAAGGAAAGTCGTTTATACCCTACCCTTGTGACCAAGATAATTTCGTGTAAATGATATAATTTGAAAGTAGTAATTAAATATTTTATTATTATAAACATTTTTTTGAGCACGTAGCTAATGTACAACTGCTTTTCGTTTTTGAAAAATACACATAAATATATTAATAAAATCTAGAAAAAAATCAATTAATTTTTATAAATATTTTAGATATTATCTTGGTAATATGTAGAAACCACAAAATTGATTGAAGGTAACACATATTAAATCATAAACATATAATCAGGGTTAGCCATTTGTCATGCGTAGTGCTCAGTCCAACATACCAACACTACAACTACGAGCTGTATACGAACTATAAGAAGGCCGCAGTGTTACCTTTTTATTCTTAAAAATTATATTGTAAACATAATGATTTCTTGATATATTTGACTAGCATTTAATATAAACTAAAGCATTAAAATTGTTATTTAAATATTTAACATTAACTAAATGAAACAAAATGAAAATTTTTTTATCAATAAATAATAAACACATTTATACAAAATAAGAACAGTACGACGTAGCCAATTTGGTAACCCCTGTTTCAGGAATGCTCAATATCAAGTTTGGTCATCCAAATTCCGATAGTTGCATAGGTGATAAGGTTCTGCGACTCGGGTGTAATGTCGCTTCGTAAATAAAAAAATCATTGATATTCCGGAAATAAAAATTACTACATTCAATAACTTTTACACTAATCGTAATCATATAGTAACAGCTTACAAATATTATAAGTACAAACTTCATTTAAACAAATCTGAGACATTAATATAAATACAACGTAACCACGATAACGTTCACAAACGAGTTTTTATAATTTGTAATTAAGTGAGCTACACGTAGCATATAAATTATACAGTATTCTCGTCATAACAGTAATTTAACATACAAATCAACAACATTAAGCAATCTATCGACCTATAGTTCCTGTTGGTCAATTCATATCAGTTGTATAAAAGCATTTTTTAAATCAAATTTTTAACATTCGACTAATAGTGTTCGAGTAGTCAATTCAAAGACATCATCAATTATTCAAAGACCAATGAAAGCTGAACAACCATTACAACTCGTAGGAGTGATCAGTGTAGAATCAGTTAATGTAAAATTTTCTATAATATCAAGTTCAAATGGTAATGTCTTAATAGAATCTTCAAAACCAGTTGAACTTATTAAACTTTATCCAGAATGGGTTGAAGTTGATCCAGAAAGCATTTGGAATTCATTGAAAATTATTATTGAAGAGGTAATAAATGAATTAATTTCTAATGATATATCCTTGGATTGTATCAAAGTTATCAGTATTATAAATGAACGAGATACTGTTGTAGCTTGGGATTCAGAAACAAATAAACCACTTTACAACGCCATACATTATAGTGATAATCGTACAGATTCAATTATTCAAGATTATGTTTCAAAAGATCCAAATGTATTTAAGTATGTAGAAGAAATAACTGGTCTCAAAGTAGTGTCAATGTTTAGTGCACTTAAATTAAAATGGTTATTTGAAAATGTAGATAATATAAAAATATCTACTGTTAAAGAAACAGTTAAATTCGGAACATTAGATACATGGTTAACTTGGAAATTAACCAATCGAAATTTATATATCACTGATGTAACTAATGCATCTAGAACTTTATTAATGAATTTGAAGACACTTAAATGGTCAGAAAAAGCATGCAAAATATTTAACATTCCTTTTTCATTACTTCCAACAATTAAAAGTAACTCTGAGTTATATGGAAAAATAAATATTACACGTTTGAAGGGTATAATGATTGGAGCTATTATAGCTAATCATCAGGCTGCTTTTTATGTTAAATGTAGAAGTTTTGGACAAGTTATGAGTAGATATAATGATAGTTGTATAACATCATGTAATATTGGGAATGAAGTAATTCAATCAAAACATGGATTAATTACTTCAGTTGCCTATCAAATTGGCAATGAATCTGTTTCTTATGCACTCGAAGGATGGACATCAGTAGGAGGAAAAATAACAGAATGGTTGAAAAATAATATGAAAATCATAAACTCGGAAGATGAACTTAAAACATTAGACATTGATGTAAGTGATATATATATTGTACCTGCATTCAATGGACTTGCCACCCCATATTGGAGACCTGATGCTACAGGTATAATATGTGGGATGACACATTATACAAATAAAAAACATATTATTCGAGCATCATTAGAATCCATATGTTTCCATACAAAAGACATTTGTATTGCATTACAAAAAGACATTGGAATAACAACATCACAGTTAATGGTAGATGGCAAATATTCATGTTATGATATTTTATTGAATTACCAAGCAGATATTTTAGGAGCAAATATAAGAAGGTTACACGCTACTGATATGGCAATATATGGAGCGGCAGAAATAGGAGCAAAATCTGTCGGTTTAGAATTTAATGATACCAATAGTTCTGATTTCATATCTAAGCCAACAACTACAGAAAATGAAAGGAATAATCGCTATTATAAATGGTTAAAAGCGGTACGTAGAAGTTGTGGATGGAAAAAACCAGTACAAATTGACAAAAAACTAAACAAGTTTGACATTTTTAGTACAAATATATTATCTACAGCTTATTTAGTAGCAATGATGGGTATGATGGTGATATCAGATAATAAGTAAATAACATAAGTATACGTCACATACAGATTGTAATTTCTGTATGAATTTCAAATATCATAGCTGTACTATATTTTATTTAAAAAATTGCATATATTTGTATATTAGTTACATATATTGTTATTATATACTCAAGCATAATGTTAAAAGAAAGGATTAACATTAAATAAATTATACTTGAGCATTAAATAAAAAACATCTAATGGTATCATTAACTGTAACCATTTGCCTTTTTAATATTACTGTTAACCATTAAAATTTTTTTTTTATATGAAAAATGTTTTAATTTTAAATTATTTAATCGCATCAATATATATATACATGTGTGTGTATTTTTTATTTTGTACATTCATTAATAAAACCAGTTGTAACTTGGTTATTTAAAGAAATAATTTGATACATTACATATAAAAATGTAATGGAAATTATATGGTACACCAGTATTTTACTTCTGTAAATAGTCCATAAAACTTTAAATAAAATTTCTTCTTTTCAATAAAAATAAAAATTTTTATCAATACAATATATTGAGAAAAATTTATATTTATACATAATATACACAACTTAAATTAAAAACCTGAAACTTTTAATAAATAAAGATTAATTAAAAGTTTTAAAATGAAGTAAATCTTTAAATTATTTTTTTCTTTTGATATTTACACATTGACTAAAAAATTTAATCATACTTTCATACTATTTATAAAACTATTGACATTACAAAAAAAAAAACATACATAAAAATTTATCAATCCAAAAATAAAGGTTCCCTCTATGATGAAAGTTGAATTTTTCATTATTAAAAATGAATTTTTGTAATTAAATTGAAATTTATAACAGACTATAAAGAAAGACAACTAATTACAAAAGTAATCTTAATGACAATTTTAAGAATCTTGTATATTTTTTTTAATACTAACTTCATTTTTAATAAAATAAGAGTTGTTTGTATTGAATCAAAATATTTCATAATAAATCTACTACAGTAACAATCAAAATTAAACTTAAGCCATAATAAAAACAACTATATATAATTTTATTATAATAACATTTTTAATCAAATTTAATAAAAAATTTTGTGAAAAATGTAAAGCTATATACCCAAATAAATATAAGACTGACCCAAATAAGGTGGCACACCTTTTATTAGACAATATTAAGTATTGTCTAGTATTAAATTTTAATAGTTCTAATTAATCAGCATATTTTAAATATACGAGGTTTCTAAAAAAAAAAAATAAATAAGGTCACACAATATTAAAAAATTATTTAGTAGGCAAATCAATTTTTTCACTATATTTTGAAATATAGTTCTATCTAACTTTTTTTTTTGTCACATCACTTTACTTTTTAGCAAAATATTTGTCTCTAGCATACTTATCAAAGTAAAAAAAAGTCGCCTCCCTTCTCTAAAATGATATATAAATACAACCCGTATAAACACATGCACTAAATGACTAGTGTTAAAAATTAGAAGTTAAACTAAGCTAAACTAGGCATAAAATATTTTTGATAAACACAGCTAATTTTCATATTAAATTAATTAATTTGGATTATTTACAAAAATCCTTAAATAATAGGAGGATGCTATTAAGATATTTGAAGAGATATATCATTTTTAAATGCCCAAACAATAAAAATACAGTATACATAAAACATGACTATTCTAATGTATAAAATTTAGAAATAACTTATTTGTTAGAATTTCTAATTTCCCTTTTTTGACTATTGGTCATAAATATTTAGTTAGACTGCTTTTATTTTAAAACTGACTACATAAAAAAAATGAAGCATAACATTTTTTATTGAATACTAAATAAATTCAATTAATTATTAAATAATTAAATATATTGTTATTGCAAAACAAAAATATTCACCAGGGTCTGGTTCAGCATTCTTAAATATGAGCTGCGGCCATGATAACTTTTCAACCATAAAGGAAGATGTTATATAAAATGATATTATCATAAGATTGAACATCTTATTTAAAGTTTCAAGGTAAGGTAATTATACAGATTTGTTCAACAAATATTTTAAATAAAAAATAATAAGTGTTTTAAATATAAAATTATATAGGTAAATCTATCTATTCTAATCTATTTAAAGAAATAAAATATTTTTCTTACATGAATAATAATAACATAACAAAGTATAGATAGTAAGAGCTATTATATTTTAAAATTTTTAATCTATGAAACAAGTAATGGTTAAGATAAAGAGTTTAATAAATTTTGTTTATTTTTTTAAGTAATATATTCTTGGTAATATTTTACTTTATTATAAAAATCATTATCTACAATCTGGTTAGAAGATAAATTTACTAAAATGCTACGAGTCAAATATTTTTTAAACATTAGTGTCTGGAGAAATTGTACATTAATTATATATAATTCGTTTGATGTATTACATTTAAATATTATTTAAAAATATTGACATATATTTTAAATATGCTTACCTTCAGGAAAAGCTTGGTCATTCAAGATGTACTCAATGAATTTGTTGGTGATAAAATATAAGTGTCCCATGCCAGCAGCTTGAAACTTAGTAGAGCTTGTATATGCTGTAGATACGTTTGGATTACTAAATTGTACTTGTTCGTAAGGCATTACATTGTGTAAATGTTCAGGAACACCTTCCATGAGTCTGAGTTGAGGCTTTGGCTTAGCAAAGTTTTTGAGCCAGTTGCCATCGGATTGTGTGGTTAACTGAAGGTGTACAAATATATACAACAGCCATCGATAAGCAGCAGCACGCGTTACAAACATGGTCAATAATTCTAATGACCCACGATTTCCGTTTTAAAACTTTACAAGAACATGATGCACGAGGACTTCAACAATTGGTAAATATTTTGAAAAAATTCTATCAAAATATTACAATTATTGATAGACGAGTCAAGGTATCAGCTGTGTTATAGGGATGAGATCAAGGAGTAAGAGCTAGTAAACAAAGGAATCTTTTATTCGCGGATACGCACTCTAGCGGACACGCACTCTGTTCTGGATAATAATATCAGATAAATAAAATAATTAATCTATGTCAAACAATGGGTTGCAGAATTTTAAATAATGAGATTAAAAGTTTAACGATAAAACATAACAAATAATCTGTTGTCCCGGCGGCAGTGGTGGTAGCGGGTTGGGTTCGGTGATCAACCTACGGACGTGTTCGCGTTATTATAGTCACTCACTGCATGGTGCACAGTATAGTCTTTTTCAATCACGGTTGCAGTGTCTCTGTACCTCGCGCTCACTGTTATTGTGGTGGGGGTAAAAGTCAGCGGCCAAAACAATCTTCTACGAAACAGGTTGTCGACAATGGGAAATACAGGCATTACGGATATGACCGAATCGATACGGCTGACTAGAACGCAGCGTAGCGGCCTGTTTTAGTTATTGTCTAGGGTACGAAGGCCCTAAATCATTATTGTCCTGTGACCCCCTCCAGACAATTCGGGCCAAGGTTGTTGGTGGTATTAGTTATGGTTAAGCAAAGGGAATACTTATTTCCCTTTCTCCGACAACGCTGCCTGATGCGTTCTCTTTTGCAGATACTGCCTTAAGCTTAAATTTTTTTACGTTGACTTTCAAATGTTTCCGGATATAGCACCGATTGATCAAAGGGTCAGATCAAATAATTATTTTGCAATTATGCTGTTTATTTATTATATCTTTCGAGATAAAATAATTAAGTATAAAATATTGTTTGACATTTTTTATTAAAAAAATAATTAGTCAGTGTTTAGTTGCATTGATGTAATTATAAAAACCCCTGTAAAAATCTAATGGTCCCAAACGGTGGCGACATTTCACTTTTTTAAAACGCGCAAACTTTCAAATCGGCATATCTCATCCTCAATTTTACAAATAATTAACACATTTTGAAAAAAATACCCAATTTTCGTGGGCCACTGAAAAATTAAGGTGTGTATGGTAATAAGCACTAAAAAAATTTTTATATTAAAACATAAATATTATTTGTTTCAGAAATAATTAACTATAGTATACTTTTGTACTATTTCAGTACACAAAAACTATATTTACTGGATATAATTTAAAATAATGTTTAAGGCAATACAATTTTTTTTTTTCCAGATAGAAAAATTTATTATTTTAAACAAAAATTATTGAATTGTAAAAACATTCTAATTAAAATTTTATATTGGATTGTGTCAATCCAATATAAAGTAGATAGTATCTATCTACTTAAAAGTATAAAATAAAATTTATAATTATGAAAAAGATTGAATTGCATGTCGTTTTTTTTTTTGTTATATGTTTTGTTTATAACTATTTAAAATGAATAATTAATTTATTATAATTATTTATTTAATTTTTAGGAATCATCATCAATCAATTTATTATAAAATGTTTATACGGGTGTTCAAAAAATAAGGAAATAGGTCAATTGTATCTTTAGATGGAAAATAAAACTTTAATTACTGGACACCCTTATTATAAAATAAATAACAAAAATATTTTTTGAACATGTGGATAAGTTATCATTAGAAGCATGTTAAAAATTTATTTCAAAAAGCTTTTTGTTAATTTTTATACTCTTTTTAACAGAAAGAATTTTTATTTTTACTTGTCATTTTATGATTTCTTAAACAATGAGCAAACATAATACAATATAAATTAGACTTGCAATGTGTTCCTTACAAATTTGTATTTTGGACAATCGCTAACCTTGTTTCTATAATTATACCCCTTTTTATTTGTACAGCTATAACACATCTAATTAAATTGAGTTACTCACAAAATATATCAACATGTTACAACATAATGTTATATCTACTTGCTTACATACCTAAAAAATTTTAAAGTGTATAAAATATGGTGTTAGCTAACATAACTAACAGATTTCATGTTAGTGTTTTAAAATTCTAAATTAAATTGACACATGAATAGCTTATGTATAAAATTTGTTTAACTATTCAATAAGGATAAAAAAATGATCATATTTATATACAATAATGAAATAATTATCATTGCAAAATTGTAATTTTAGAGAAAAATATTTGTCAAATTAAAAATAGATGTGTACAATTAAATTTACAGAAAAAATTATTTTTTTATAATTATAGTTAATAATTATGAAGACCTAATTAGAAAAAAAAATGTGCTATTTATATACTTTATACCACGAACTAGTTTGAAAAAATTCATACACAATATATTATCTATGAAATTAATATCTGCATTTAACTTAACCAACATACAAATGGAAAAATATTTAAAAAAATGTAATGATCTGAACAGAATTTTGAGTAAACACATTGAATATATTATAATTATTATAAGAGCATAAAAAAAAACACATTTTTAAAAATTCAAAATATGAAACTACAATATTTATTAAAATAAATAAAAGAGGATTAAAATAAATTATCACACAAAATAATTAAGTGTTGTACGAAGATAATAGATTTGAGTCACAATAGTAAATGCATAGATTGAGTAATTACCTAAACTAGCTTCAACTTCTTTTTTATTCAAGAAAGATATTTTACAAAGGAAAATAAGTAATAAATACTTAATATATTAATACTTAATATATTTATAAAAACTTTTACATCTGATATTACCAAATGTAGATATTTATAATATAAAAAATGATGATATTTTAAGATGATTGCATTTGAATCGTTAAAATTTTAAATACTGAATAATTTAAAATAATTGCTTATTTAATTATCATAAATCAATAACTTATTGTCTATTAAAAACTTTGTAATAATATTACAATTATGTAAATATACATATTTTGATTTAAATAAATATAAAATAATAACCAAAAGTAAAAAAATTAACAAAATAGAAAAAATAATAATAGTAACAATTAGCTAGTTAAAATTAAATTAATAAAAAACTAACTAGTTTTTTTGTTAATCATGGGTGAGTTGTCAATTGAAAAAATAGAATTATCACGTGGAATACTACAGTCACGGCCAATAACCCATTGCCAAAAACTTTTCAGTCTAAAATAAAAAAATAGTTATTACATATTAATCGCTTTATTATTCAACAAAACATGTTTTTTACCTTGATAATAGTTCCTTGCGCACAGCTAATGTAAACTTGTTAATTAAACACAGAGTAGCTGCCGAAGCAAAGACAACATTGTAAAGTGCAACAATTGCAAAATTACCAAGCCACTCAATCCTCCCATAATCAGCTAATAAATCAAAATCCGTCACACCTTAAAAAAACAACATCTTTTTTTTATCACGAAAATTTGAATAATTACAGGCTGTTATTAAGTAAAAATATACCTAATATTCTACATAAAAGTGGTAATGCAGAGCTTAATATAAGCAACAATGTACAATTACCAACAATATGAGTAAGTGGAGTTTGTTTAATACGAGGGCGATACCTCGAAACTACTGGTAATGAGTAAAGTCCAACTGTTGATGCTACTAACATATAAAGAATAATAACTATCTCTAGTCCTGCACCAAATGGTCCTAGCTTTGAGAGAGAACTTACACCCAAAGTAAATTGCTAAAAGATAAATAAAAAAATACAATTTCAATATAAAAATTATAAATTTATTGAGTTAAATTTTTTTAATTCTTACCCTTGTATTAAGAGGTAAGGCTCGTATACCAATCAAAATTAATAACAAATTTTGAACTACTAATAATACAGTAATAACTGTAAGCGCTAATAATAACAGCATAAATGTAGGAAAAAAAAATAACTTCCTAAAGACTGATGTTTTCCTTTGTTTTTCTGTAAATAAGAGTATAACATTTAAAAAATGTACAAATAACTAGTAGTATTTAAAAAATTAAATTAATTTTTCACATTAAATAGTATTGCAAACAAATAGAATACTATTGGTAAATGACAAATGTGTTGTGTTATACTAGACTCTTTGATAGATTCCATCAGACATACAGGACTTGTACTTAAGAACAAGTGTTTCTATCTTAAAAATAAAATTAGACATATAAATGAATAGACTAAAAACAATACCTTTTGTGTATGTTACGTTGAAGCAAACATGCGTTGCTTCATAATAAGAATTTTGGATGGAGGAATTCCTTATTTTTCATCGATTCTATGTAATAATTTGGAATTTATACTTAATATTGTTTAGTAGTACAATAACAAATAAAATTTTATTGATAAATATTATTTTATATAAAATCATGTTAGCTTTACAAATTATAACTCATTTTGCTCTATTTATTTATATATCTATGTAAAATTTATAGGCACTTTCACTAAATTATAATATATACTAAATTAGTAATTTCCCAAGGATAAATCATTAATAATGGGTTTATGTCTCACCAATATTACTATGTCATATTCTAAAGGCTACCCAGTATTTGACTAAAGATTCCTGATTTTCTAAAAATATTAATATTAATTTTTTGTAAATTATAATAAAAAAAAAAAAAATTAAAAAATGAAACAAAAATAAAGGAAAAGATGCTATAATTTTTCTTTGAAGATTTTAGTACCAAAATTTCAACTAGTTTTGATTAAAATAATAAGAATACAGAAAAAATTTAATGATAAACAAAGAAGAGAAAATGAATATAAAAATGATAAAAACTATCATTTCTATAAAAAGTACTCCCAAAATTAGTTTACTAAGTTAATAAGTTTAGCATATAAAATTACAAGACAACCCATTTATAAATTTGAAACTGGATAGTACAAACACTATTCAAATATAGCATCAAAATATTTGCAGAAAATTTTCGAGAAAACATAAATAATATTTTAAACATTTACCAAGTACATCAAGACGTTCTTGAAAATTTAATAATTTATCAGCTAATCCATTTTTAAGTTTTCCATTAGTCAATGACCATAACTCCCTTTCAGGTAGGGACATTTTTTGTTCTTTTTTTGCTAACATAGGCTGTGGAGACATATAACTTGAGCCGTTATTTTGAGAAACTTGATCCAATCTGTAATAAAATCAAAAATTTATTGTATAATTAATAAAATTAATTAGAGTCCAAATAAAAAATTGGATCATTAACTTTGTAGAAGATTAATTGAGAGGAATATATTTATATTTTTCAAAAATAATATTTTAAATTTAATATCTGATATACATAGTGTAAATCTCATTTCCTAATAAAACTTTATATAGGGTGTTCAGTAAGTTAGGAAAAGATTTATATTGTTCTCATTGTTTGCTACAAATGACCTATTCCTTATATTGAATACTGCATAGATACACACCTTAACCCAATATTATAGATATAAATCTAATAACATTAATTTTTTAAATTTTATAATAAAATATCACAAAACATTATAATACTGGTTTTTTAAATGTATTATTCAAGAACGCTATTATCCAAAAATAAAATTTTAGAAAGTGAAAATCGCTAGAAAAATGAAATGTACTAAGTTTAAAAATTAATAATTATAGCATAAACAATACCTTCTAGTAAGACAATCAACTTCAAGTCTTAAGACACTAATTTCTTCATCGGTTGTTTTTTGTAACTGTGGTTTTATCATAAAACGACTTAAAATTGTAAATAATGTAGCAAAACCCACAGGAGTACATACTAAAAATTAAAAAAATTTTTGTTTAATATAAAAATGAATTTTCTTTATTCACTTACATAACAACATTAGAACGCCAATGAATGAAATACATGAATATAAGAATGGTAAATAGTTGTTCCATAAATCTGTAATAAAATTTTAAAATTTTGAGTGATCATTTTTTAAACTACTATGGAAAATTTATTTTTAATGTAAATTTGATATTCTGGTTTAACTATTGTTTATAAAAATATATAAGGAGTGCGGCGTTAAGTGAACTAGATGAACAATTTACTCAAAAATATAAGGATTACATAAAAGTATGGGATATTCAGTATTAATTATGGTCTATATATTCTTTTTATATTATGATAATATATAGTGAGTTAAAATTAATTAATAAAAAAAAACCCTAATTGAATTAATTACTTAAATATAGTTAACTAACACTAACAGGAGAAGGTAACTTTCATTTAAACATTAATATTTAATTACAATTCGATATAAAAATTTTAACTTGGTAAAATATAAAGAACTAACATTATTTATACAATTAAATTAGATATATTACTTAAAAAAGTTTATTATATACTAAGAGATTATTATTTTTAATTAACACAGAATAAATTTTTACATTTTAACTTTTAACTTACTAAAAAGCATATAGAATATTGATTGTTCGGCATAAAAAATTGTGTAAAGTAAATATGTTAATACTAATACAAATATTGCTAATAACAATAAAACTGTACACGTTTCATAAACTCTAGCTTTTAATCCCTAGAAAAATTAAATTTAATTATTTAAAAAAAAAAAATGTATTATAATTTTAAAAATGTTTTACTTACTTTTCGATGACCTGGAAATCCTTCCGATTCATTGAATAAATATGCAAATGGTAAAAAAATGAATAAGGAAAGATTTGAAAATAAAAATACTAAACTCCACAACCCTAAATATCAGACAATATAAAAAAATTAATTAAACAAATGAAGTTAATGTTTTCATTATTTTTAGAAGAAAAGGATATTAACAAAATAACATGAGATTGATGAATGTAAACATGTCATAAATTTATTTAGTTAATAATTGTGAATATACATATAAAAAAATGAATTAATAAATAGTCATATTGATTTGATACTTAAGGATTTATATGTATAATTGTTTTAAACCATTTTGACAGGATAATGTTGAAGAACATATTATTTAGTCATTGTACGTTTAAACAAGATTATATGAAAAATGTATTAAAGAATTTTTACAATGGCATAATTAACTATAGGTTTTGGAACTTAGTTACTCAAAAATTTAGAAAGTATGTATATGTTATTGTGTATAATATAGCTCGTCAGTCGGTAACACATCACATCTTAGATTGAAAGTACAGAGTTTGATTCTCTCGTGTACAGCTGGGTAGGTTTTTTCATTCTTTCTGGCACAAAACAATAACTTTCAAAGAGGACATTAAACATAAATAAAATAGTTTTTAGATTGAGGAAAATTGATTAATGATCCTAAAAAAGTGTTTTTTTTTCAGTTAAGCTAATGGATTTTTATCAAATTTGTTTCAATAATAATAATTATCATAAATTTTTAATTTTGTATAGAAAAATTAATGTAATAAAAAAAAAAGTTACTCTTTTAGCACTTCAATACTACATAATAAAATAAATAATTATTACCATGTATTAGTGAATGATTAAGCCACTGAACATAGTAACTTGATGGGTACAAAGATAATACTTCATTACTGGCTATTGATATAGGTAACAAGAGTGCTGCACCAACAGAAACAGCCAAAGAAATGGTACAAAGTAGTAGGCTAATTTTATAAACTTGGAATTAATTAATTTTTTAAACTATTACTTTTTAATCAAATATTTACCTATACTTGTAAACGGTATAATCATCTTCATCTCGAATAGAAACAACAATGTTATCTCTTTTTCTATATTTATTCACAATGATATAACTTAGTGTTAGCAATAACACAAATAAAAGAAGAAAAATCTAAAATAAAATAAATATTGAAATTTTAAACTTTAAATATTCAGCTCAGTACTCACTATTTTTTCTCTAACATTATTGTAAAATAATTCTTCTCGCTCATCTGGTTCATCAACATCATACATTATTTTGAGTTATCTAAGTAACACTCGTTTTAATATCGTTTTCAAAGTAATACAGCCACCACAAATGCATGCTCACAGGTATAATTGTTTATTATACTAATAAATTATAAAAAGTATAGGATTAAAAATTTAACGTCAACCTAAGACAACCTGCCACGACGAGTGACTAGTAATTTGTTTACGTGTTTAGACAAAATCAAAAATAAACATAGAAAACTTAATAAAAAACAAAAATACAAAAGAGTAAACAAAAATAATTCAAAGATAAAAAGGAAAGATTTAGATTAAGAACACAATTAATTTTTCTAAATAAATGCAATGAATTAATCGTTATAACAGTAAAATGTTAACACAAAAAATAAAATGATGAAATTTGATACAATGTAAGTTGTTAAAAATGCCGCTAGATACCGTTACCCTACATTTATTGACCAGAATTTTATGATAACAAGGGTTGGCAAAATATTGGTTTGTCGCCATAGTCGAGTATTCAATATATCTCAGACACTACGTATCGATATCATAGTCAGTAATAGTAAAAATAAATTTTATTTTTACGTTTAATAAATAAGCTAAACAAATCTTTTAAATAATTAATTATATACGCTTTATTTATGTGTCATACAATTTAAAATAACAATCAAATTTAAGGTTTTATAGACATAGAGTAAAACAGCTTTATTAGTTTTGTAAATAAATGTATTTATAATATTAATAAACACAGATAAATATTGGTTCAAATTAAAATTAAAAATTAAAATATTATATGGTAAAAACAATAAAAATTCATAGAAAAAGTGCATTAAACACATTTATTTAAAAGCAAGATCTTAGGATAAAAACAAGCATAAATAAGTGATAAATTAAATAAATAAACTATCAATGATACAGATGATTAAAAATCTATGTAAACAATAGCAATATATCGATGTATAATTGCCATCCTAGATATGATCAAAGTCACGCTAATAGTGTGTTGCTCATAAGCGTGCTTGGAAAATTTACCTTACATCTGAATAGTAAACTTGGTGGGAATTTCTCAATCACTTTGGTTTGTCTCCTCTCCTCGTCCCCAAAAAGCACAGTTCATTCATGGGACTAAAATGTATAGACTTTAAACTAGTGATGGGTCGGTACTCGGGTAATCAGTCCAAAGTAACGAGTACATCGGACCAATGTACTCGTCCACCAATGTCATTGGTGGAACGAGTAGGACTGATTACAGTTGGTCGTTACACTATCGTCCCGTCAGTACAAAATACAGTTGATCCCCAAATGATTACAGTAGTGACATGAGTACTTGAGTAGTTCTTGCTCGATCGAGATTGTATAACTACGACCTACAGTAACTGTCTATTTGGTAAACCGTTGACTAGGCGGTCCTCTTATTATCTCTTGAAATTTCATTTTGATCCAAACATTATTCAAATAGGTATTAGATGGATTTATTATAACCAAAAAAATTACATTCTGTATAGAATAATAAATAATCTATAATTTAATTTTGTTTTGAATGAGAATGTAGATGTTGAGTTGCTATGCAAAATACTACAAAATCGGCAATTGTATGATTTTTTACTTAAATGCTCAATATTTCGTAGATATCAAGTTTTTGGATATTTACCATCTTCAAGTACATCAAATTTTCTTTGACTTTGTGTAAGTTTTAAATGAAGTCAGATTTTTTGATCATTATGAGATATTTAAAAGAAAAAAAGATTTGGTATTAGTTTCGTTTCATCAGTTTTTTATCAACATTTGAAAACGATTTGACTCTCAGGTATAACAACAAAAGTTTATTTATTTATTATTTTATTTAATCAAATATTTTAAGGTGGTAATTTCATAAAAAAAACTCCTACTATTGAAGCAATTATTAAGCTAGATAGATATTTAAATGAGTCTATAATAAAAAGAAAGTCGAATCCTTTGTTATGGTGTAATGAGAAGAAAATGACATTGCCTAACTTATTCGATCTCTTATTGTTAAGATTATGTGTTCCTTCAACTTCGGTTCTATGCAAACGGACATTTTCTAAAGCGGGAAATTAAATAATCTAACAACATAATTATTATGTTACAAATGATTTAAAATTTTAAGAAGGTATTGATAATATTTTTTAAATTAAATATTGTTTTGAAGATATTTTTAATTTTGTTATATACTTATATAATTAAAAAAACAGTATATTATTTAACATGATAGTTTTATACTTTAATAATTGATTATATCTCAAATTAACTTGGCCAAAATACGGTACGCGTCTAAAAAATACGGTTATTTATTTATTATGTGGTAAGGTATCTATTTTTTTTTATTAAAATTTAATATTATGCCTATCGATACTACTGTATTATTACTGATAAAAAAAAATTATTATCTAAACATTTTCCGAAAAGCATTCGCGCTTTTTAAAATATTACCTGATGAGTAAATGATATAGACGTACTTATTGATTTATTATTGGTACTTACCTACTAAAGTCCCGCGTAGATTCAACTGTTTATATGATCAATAAATACTGGTTTGGTTTTGGTAACAGGTCGCAATGAAGGTACTCAATTACAAAAAAGTAAAAGTACCGGTGTACCGAGTACTTAGGAATCGTTACTTTTGAGTAACTGTACCGAAAGAAACGAAAATTCTCACCACTAGTCTAGACTCCGTCAGCCCTCATTATCAATACATGTTATTGAATAATTAAATCATCATTTTTATTATTTTTTTCATCCTTTTTTATTTGAAAGACGAGTTTTATTGTTTTATTGTTGACGAGTATAACATGAATAAAAATGTTTCAATATTTGTAATTAAAATTTTTTTCTAATGGTTATTTCAAAGTAAAAGCAAAATAATAAAAGGTACTATAATTTTATTGTAAAATTTCATGTAGTATAACACTATAGAATATTCATATAATTAAAAAAAAACCCTTAATATCATGGATATCTACCTACGCTACGTTTCTAGGTCTATGTTCTGTACCGTTTTTCAGCGTTCGTGAATACATCAATTAGGTTAGATACCTGTCAAGCACTAAAATATTTAAACTCGTTGGAGTTTGTTAAAGATTCTATTATACATTTTTTTCATAAATGGTATTTCGGTGCAGGGAAAAACTAGGTAAGTTTGAATTAATAAGGTTTTAGAATTCGTTTAAAAATTAATGTAATTGAAATTATCAATAAATTAACAAAATGTATACATTAATATATATTTTAATTAAAACAGGTCAATTGTTACAAACTATGAGAACAATAAAAACCCGTCTCCTGACTTACTGAACACCCTGTATAATAAATAGTAAATAAAAAATTTGTTTAATCGGTGCATAATTTTTCATTTGTACAATCATGGACATAGATATATTTACCTGTGGAGATGCAGTCCTATATTCTATTTTCTAAATGTATACAAAAGAACATATTACTTTATCGTCCCCTCACTAAAAATTCAATTAATAGG